GAGAAGGAACCTGGGCCGCGATTTGTTCATTGCTTGAGCTGAACGATGAGATGAGGCCTGAGGCAGCGATGGTTTGATTTCACTATGCAAATGAGGTTTTCAAACAAAGGATTGCATGGTCGTGCATGGGTGATGCGACCTGTCATGATGTGTTGAAATTCCTTCATAATGCCAACTTTGAATGTTGTGCCTTCTGTCCCTGTAGTCTCAAAACCGCAATTCCTTTCCACACCTTGCCGTTGCCTTCCAGCTGTCTACACTAACTTGACTGTGGCAGTCTAGTGGTGCATTAATGTGTCATGCCTCATGAAGACAACACAATATCGTCTCCTTCTCATGTTTTGCCTCCTCACATGGAGCGCAGAGGTGCAACTTACAGTCCTCGAGTGCCTGTAAAGCACAACACTGTAATCCCCCATCAATGGTGGAGAGGAGGCGAGTTGACTCTTCGTTGCCAACCTTCTGAAGGCAGCGAACGTGGTCAGCAGGTAAGGAAAGTGCACCCTCCAATGCGATCGTAACGAGTCGGTGAGAAGTAGTTAATGGAAAGGCAGGTTGGAAAGAAGGTTGGACGGCAATTATGTCAACAGTGTGCTGCAATATCTACTCACTAAGCCACCTACCAATCTACTCCTTCCACCCCACCTCTCCACCTTTCCTCCATCAAAGATGACCATTGACCACATCTTGAGGCTGGTCATTCCGCCTAACTCACTTCTGTGACAGGTTTTGTCTTCAGTGGTGCCAGCACGTCGTCATGTATTGGAAACAGCTTACCACTTTGCCTTAACTAGCACTGCATTCGCGTCTGCCAAAAAAGCATCAACGTTTGTTCTCACAAGTGGGTGTCTACTTCAACAATTCACTACGAATCCTTTGTTTTCCGGCATTCACATGCCACGGCGATAGCAACAACACAGTCTTCCTCTGTGTGTGTGGATGGGTAAGTGTGCAGAAGTTACTTGTTTAGCACGATCTCAAAGAAGGAAGCCATATTGACACCTGAGGCTCGAATTCGGTGGTGGTCGGACACAAACGTAGTGGTAAGGGAAAGACAAGGCACTGGATGCCAGGCGTCAGGGATGCTTGAAGAAGCGACATTCAGAGGCGAGAACACTGCGTACTTTCACCTGGTGGAAGGGAGGAGGTGACTGTCAAGTCATCGTCCACATACCCAGTGACAATGACTTGTTGAAACTTGCAGAGGACTGCACAATGCAACAAATCATGCTACGATTGTGCGTCAGCCTGTTAGTGGTGGTGCACAGCATTTCGCTCTCTCTCTCTCTGTCTCTCTCTGTCTCACTCTGTTCCTCTCTTTCTGCATTTGGCTTCTCAGCGGAGCTGCTCGATTGGAGAAGAGTCTGTTGGAGTTGTGAGTAGAGGCGTTGAGTGTCTTGGAGAGGCGTGTTGAGATCTACTAGGAGGAGAGTAGAAAAGGGTTACACAAGACTGAGCACAGTGGGATGAGAATTGGAGGTGAGTGAGGCGAAGAGCAGTGCTGGCGACTCTCGAGACCCCACGGAGCTCACTTTAGTGGGAGGATGAAAGAGTGGGAAAGAAGAGCAGTGGTGTTTGGCAATTCCTCAGTCTCTGAGGTGTCAACATTCCTTCGAGCACAGTGTGTGACCTGCATCCCCATCCACATGTCGCACAGACGGGCAGTGTGTGTGATTGGGGATGGGCAAATGTGTGGGTGTGTGAGTGAGTAGGTGGGAATGGCGTTGCTGACTTCTAAGACAAGGGCTGTCACTTCTTCCTACATCGACTTCCTACATAGAATTTTCCCGTGCATTGCTAAGTCGACGGTTGCCTCCTCCTCCTCCAAATCCTCGTCTACTCTTTCCACGTCATCTTCACACAACACCTCACCTTCACTGTTGGGTTGTCTTGACAATGTCGTGAATGCACAACCGCTCTTCTTGACCACCTTCGATAGGCATTTGGAAGGATTGTCAATCGGCTACTTATCGTGCACCACAAGTTTTGTATTTGTTAAAAGGGCAATAGAAATTGGAACAGCTGCCTTAACAACCTTCTGTCCAAGCCAGAAGTGTAACAGTAAAAATGAAACAGAGCAACCTGCAAAAGTGTGCACACTTTGTCAGCCCCTTTCCAAACAAGTTGACTTTAAAGGGAATGCATTTCGTCCAAAGACGAGCAGACGGCATCGCCAGTCAGGTCATCGGTGTAGAGAAGTGCGCCTCTTTTGCTTCTCAAAAGTGACATTCGTGTAATTTGAGTTAACGACGACGTCTTCTTTCCAAACCATCGCGTTGATGATGATTGTGGCATTCAACTGCACAACGTCTGCTGCATGACACTGACGTAAGCTCCTCTCCTCTCCTCTCCTCTCCTCTCCTCTC